AAGAGCAAAGAACCAAGAAACTTGAGTTTTAAGATAAACACTCAAAACCAATAAAGAAAACTACAAATTTGATAGATCATAAGCCATGAAAAGATAAAAAAAGATGGGTTTTAGAATGAAATTTCAACTGCTTACCCTCTTTCTTGTCCAGAAACTCAGATTAAGGTTGAATTAATACATGTATATATATATATATATATATTTCAAAAAAAACCCAAGAACATATTAATTTAAAATATATTATACAGTGCAATTTGGACAATCTAACTCCAAAATATATAGTATATATATAAATAAATAACTATAAAAGTATAAATCGTAAATATTAAAAATATTTTTTCACAGTATATATGATATATAATAATATAATTAAGTCAAAAACTATTCAATATTGGACTCATTTCGAAGGTATTGACGAGACGATTATAATGGTGTAACTTGTTGAAATAAAAATGTATTTTTTAAACATATTTTAATTGATATACAATTATGTATGTTAATTTGATAAAAGTTTAAAATGCAACATTTAAAAGTAAATGACGTAAAGTAAATTAATTAATTAATTATAGGGGTATAAAGTATAAATTTAAAATTATAATTTTAAAAAAATCGGTTGTGAGAGGGTAAATGTATGTGAGGAGAGGAGGGGGTGAAAAAATGAAAAAGTAAGTATAAATGGTATTTTCGTCATTTAAAAATTTAAGATTTTAAGACTTTTACTAAATTTGGTTAATAAGATAATATAGATATAAATAAAAAACTAAAATATATAAAAAAAATTATAATTAAAATAATCTGAGCACTCTTTAAGTAATATAATATAGATACTTATACTTGTGAGATTAAATTGTAAAAATGAAAGAGAGAGAGAGAGAGTATAAATGGTGGGAGGGTAGCGCATTGACAAACATTTTCCTCCATCATCTGTCGTCAACGTTTTCACTTTATCTTGCCTGCTCAAAACCCTTTGCTTGTATTCAATCTGGTTCTCCTAGGATTTTTGGAAAGGTTAGGGTTTCCATCTCGTAATTGGAACACATCATCCGCATCATTTCGATTTTTCATGGAGGCGGCCACCGTCGCTGTCGCACCACGAGGCATTTCTATGCCCATGCCCTCGTCTCGCAAAGAACGGCGTGTTGTTTCTGATCATCCTCTTCAAAACCCTGGTAACGAGGTACGCCTTCTCCCATTGCGCTCTCCTTTTTCCCTTTACCGTTATTAGGGTTTTGGATTGTTTCCTTCTAGTCATAATGTGCATGAGGTTGATTTTACACCCAGGATTTGGACAATTCAAAGTTGGTGCAAGGTGATGAGAGACTGATATACGAGGTAAATATGTCTTCTCTCGTGCTCCTGTTTTCGAGGTTTTTCTCCCGTCCCTTCTCTCGGTGCGTGTTTTATTTACTTACCACAACCAACGTAGAAAATACATAAGTGTGATTTCGTTGATTGTTAAGGTGCAGCAGGGTAGAGAATCGCTAGATCTAGACTTCTTTTCAGTCACTGTTGCCGGTGGTTCGGATCATGAACTGCGTCTTGATGATGTTGTCAAACAAAGGGAACAACTTCAGGATTTAGAGGCTCGTCTTATAGCAAAGTTCAGAAGTCCTGCTGATGCAGGAGCGCTTTGATTCTCAAATCAAGGAGCATATTGCTGCCAACCTTAAACTCCAGGTGTGTAATTCCTAATTTCTTTGTCCATAAGTTATGTTCCCTATCACATGAATTTGTACTTAGTGTGTGGTGTATCAGGAGCAATTACATGAAAGGGAAAACAGCATACAGGACTTGCATAGGACTTTGGAAGATAAAGATAAAGAGCTACATGCAAATAGATTAGACCATGAAGCGGTTTGTACTTGATGATTTGATCTGGACGGTTTTCATATGGTGCTGAACTAATTCACCTTGTTATTAACATATTACATACATATAATTGTTGTTATCCATTGTTACAGGCATGGGCTAAAGAGGACCTCTTAGGAGAACAGAACAAAGAATTGGCAACGTTTAGGTTTGTCTTTACATCTTAATGCCATTTGTTTCTTCCTAATTCTTACATCAGACTTTTGGCTCTTCAAAACAACTCTAGGATTTATTTTTCCTGACCTTGTCAACTTCTAAACTGCAGTTACTTGATCCTTTTTTGTTAGGCATTTAATGAGGCTAGCTGAAACTCCTGTTTCAGGCTGGTCATGTATAGCTTGGATTGCTTATTTTCCTGTTCATCAATTTTTTTTATTTTCGAGATAGCAGGGAATGTATTTACCTTGCATAAAGTATTGATCATGATCATTTACCTATTGTTTTTTTTATGTTACTTGTACACAAGCCAGTGTTTTGCACGTGTAAATCTTATACAAAGTCTTGTCGCCAATGATCCCAATTGGCTTTACTAATTTGAATGCATGGGGAAGGTAGTTTTTTTCCCCTCTTTTGGAGAAGTAGCTAAATTCACAGTAAGACAAGCCTCAACAAGGCATATTTCCACTCTTATGTCTTATAAGGCCAATTATCCCCTGCCTGGGTTGCCTTTCCTTGCAAACCACTTAGTTTTCTTGAACAACTATTTTGGTTTGTTATCGCTAGTCGTTACTTTTACATTTCACAGATTTGGGTATTTGATGTTTGATGATTTTAAATCCAGTCATGTGCTTTTGCAGGAGAGAGTGTGATAATTCTGAAGCAGAAGAAAAGGATCAACAGTTAATTGAAATGCAGGAGCAGGTACTTGTGTGTCTCTAGAGTCTGGTGTTCTTAGCCTCTTTATTTGGTTGATGTCCTCTCCTTTATATCTTAACTTTAGTTGAAGGCCTAAGGAGAATTTCCTTTGGGTGGTTGATCAAATCACCCCAGCCAGACATGGCAAGAATAGTTTCTGGTTGCAGTATGGACTAGCAGCCTTTGAAAGCTCTTTTTGACTTTTCTCTTTTAAAATGATTTTGCTCTCTTTCAGCACAGGGTTGCTCAAGAAACCATCATATATAAAGATGAACAGATAAGGGAGGCGCAAGCTTGGATAACACGTGCTCAAGAGATGGATGTCTTGCAGTCAACTACAAATCACTCGCTGCAAGCTGAATTGCGAGAGCACATGGAACTGTATAACTTGGTTGTCAGAGACAGGTTGTTAAGTTACAGAAGTGACAAATTGATAGTTAAATTTTACACAGATGCCACTTGTCAATTGTTCGTCTCATTGTATTTCACATCATTGAAAATTTCTTTAACATTTGAATGGACCCTTGAAAGTCGCTCTTCTATATTCTGCTTGGCTGTCAGTGCCATGTTTCTTTTTGAGTGGATTTTTTTTAGTAATATTCATGTTGATCTGTGACAGTTTGCTGAAATGCAACAGCTTCAGCATGAGTTTTCTGAGGCAAGGGGAAGGAGTGACACATACTCTGATGATGAACGGGCTACCCAAAAGAATCTAAAGGATGCTTTTCATTTCTGGCATATCAAAGGAAGTGAACAGGAGAGTAGTGGGGGAAGCTCGCCTGCTGATTTTTCGAAGGGGTCTTCAAAATCGGAATGCAGAAATCATTTCATCATTTGCTTCAACTGGGAGTGCATCTACACAGGTAAGAGTTGCTCTTTGCTGTGTTATATTGCCTATTAGACACATGTACCTGTCTGTTTTAGTTTTCTTTCTATTGTCAAAAGGTGAGTCGTGATGAAATATCTGAGTCTGTAAAATGCATGTTCCAGTGTAGTTAGTTTGTTAGTTCTTTTTTCTGCTGTAGCAACATGGTTTTTAACATACACCACCAATGTCAAACCTTTAGTGTTTAACTAGGATATGCTGAAAATGGAACCAACAAATTTGAAAGAGACAAATGTCTATGGTTGCAGAACATGAATAGCCTCTATGTACACCCTCCTATTGTGTCTATGGTTGTAAAAATCCTTCTATGCTTCTCTCATGTGAGTCTAGGCTCACCACTACTTTTTCTTGCGTCTTTCTCTTGGCACAAAATTTGTGTTCTTACCTCTGCATTTTAAGGTTTTGTTGGTGATGACTGAACGATCTCAGGTGATGTTGTCTCGGTTTCTCAACTCGATGCCATCATGACCATTTTCTGGATATGTCATTTATAATTCTACGTGTCATTGTGTGCCAACACCCTTGCCTCAACATTCACTTTTCTGTTAGTCATCTTGTCTAGAGGCTGTTTTGCTTTGTCACCTGTTAGGTTGTAAGTCTGATTTGCACCCAATGAAATACGCCCTTCATGTTTAATGGAACATTAGATTTAATAATTGATAATTGAGCTAGGCAATTACGAAGTTGCCTATCAGACCTCTTTTTGAATTGCATGACATCTTTTGGACCCCAAGGTATTGTTTATCGGTGTTCATGTTGTGCACATGGGGTCGGTTATCTATTAAGTGAATGTTTTGAAGACTTGAGCATAATTTTATCAAGCTTGAATTTTGTAATATAGAAATTATCATATATACCAGCAGGTAAGAAATTGGTATGCTCTTCTGTTCCTGCTGGTACTGATGAATGCATGACATGAATTGCTAAACATGCATGTACCCATGTAAGTTTTGACAGCTTTGCTGTTGGGATTATGTTTTTAATAATTTCTTTTTGTTGCTATTGTCTTTTTGGTTGTTACTATATACCAACTAGATGGCAGGCTTGTTGTCTCTCTGGTTTAACCACATCTAAACATGTTGTATGTGGCATGTTTTCAGACCAACCAATTCCCTGCTTCTCAAATGGGCCAATCATTACATGGAATGTCAACTTTTCTTCCGCCAGGACAACTGACAGCTGCATCCATATGTTATGCATCAACAGGGAGTACCCCAAAATGTGAATGCACATCTTGTTCATTCTCATGTTGGCCAGTTCCATTCCATACCTACAGATTCTTCTCTCGAAAGCTGGCAAAATCAACAGGTGTGGGCAAATATAATCTGCCTGTCTAAAACAATTATCTGATTTTCTTGTCTGTTTTTATGTTTTTAAGGCTTTATCAGATGGTTTCCATATTTCAAACCATGACCACCACCCGTCTCAAAGTGATCAGAATTTGTTGAGATCATAAACCAACAATTATCTGATTATTCTGATGTTCATATCAGTCAAGGAACGGAATCCCATTCTGTGGTTCCATCACCAAATGCTGGAGGACCCATCACCAAATCACATCAATTTCTTCAGGTTCACGAGTCAATAGACAATACGTACACTGGAGAACCCCAATCACAGCAGATCTTGCAACATATTTCTTCTCAATTTCGGGGATCTATTAACTTGAATCATTCTGATCATGACAATGAGCATGTTAGTATTAACTTATTTTTTGTGATGCTGGTAGCATATGCATTTTCCAACCAGACTGTTATGTTCTAGTATTTTGATTTTCTGTCTGGATTACTTTTGGAGAACGATGCAAACGCTTCTTCTAATCTTGGAGGTGAGGCTCAAAGTCCAACTACAGATAATATCAGTCCTCCTACGAATGCAACTGAATCTATTCGTAGTTTAGCGAATCCATGAAGAATAAAATAACAGGCACCCCAATTTCCGATGGCTTTTTGTTGGTATTGGGCAGCGTAGGTCATCGATAGTTGGGAAGATTGCCGAGACAGTTCTTGATGAAGAATCTTTGCTTGCTTGTGTTGTTCGAACAATACCACCAACTCCGCTGGAAGAATAGGAATTAGCGATACAGTTAGTGTCAAATGTCTGTATGTTCATGTGTTCTTCAGGCACACATGACAGTCAAGGCTTGTAACAACATATCTACCCACTGTTCATAGGGTCATCTTTTGTCACATGAAAAAATATTTGTGTTGTATGGCAGCTTCTGAATAGGCTGAACAAAATGCTTTCCCCTCTAAATTGGGCTGATTACTAGACGAAGTTTGGAGAACTTGATGATTTCCTGGCAGTTCATGCTGAAGTGAGTTCTTATTTTTGGCCTGTTGAGTTCATTTTTTTCTATTTAATCGGTCATATTTCCTTCATCCTTTAAAAGTAATATTCCACACTAATTGCAATATCTCATTTTCTCTTGCACAATTTAAAGCTCTTAGTCATTGTTAGAGAAGCATTTCTGATAGTGAATTATCATCACTTGATTTTATTGACTATTAAGTCTAAAAATTAATTGAATACTGGCTCTTTTTTTTTTGTCAAAATTTGACTAAATTAATAGGCATGTAGCCAGATCTCATTTTATGTTTCAGTTGTTTTTCATTGAAAGGGACCATATTCAGGTTTGAGAGGGTGCACAAGAAATTATTGCTGCCATGGCAGCTCATGTGAAGGTTCGTGCTGCCGCTGTTGCAGCAGCAGCTGCTGCAATGACTTCTAAGTCATCCTACTGCCTTCAGTTGCCGTCACTCCAATTTCCCAATCATGTCTGAAGAAGGTCTCATCCATCAATTTAAGTTCTGTGAAGGCCAAAAGCAGGTTCATTGAGACAACTATTGGGAATGCAGAATCAACTTTCTAGGTGTTTCATCTAATGCTGTGGGAAGCATATCAAGTGTGAGAATTCTTAGCAAGCACAATGATCAAATGGACCTTAATGCCCAGAAATTAGTCATCACCAGACTTCTGTACACCTGGCAAATGGTACGTGGAGAACAATTGCCAACAGAAGTGGTGTAGGCAGTTCTCAAAGTAAGGCTATCAACCGTGTTTCTGGAAGCAGCTGGAAGGTGAGATTTCTAGGACCTCAAAAGGATTTATTTTTGTATCATTCTGTTTATGACGATGAAGCTTATTATGGCTGCTTTCACGTGACAGATCTGGTGGGGCTTTGCCGAATTCAGAAGATGTAAGTAGAAAGTTCAAACTTTTGTTAAATATACAGTAATGTCATATTTGACAACAAGATTGTCGTTTCTTTATTAGTCATGGGATTATAGTGGGGATGAATACCTTGGAAAAAGGACCCATGATGTTGCTGTTGCTGTTGCTTTCTTATGATATTTGGGAAAAAAAACACTTTTCATTGAAGTATGGCCTTGCTTGTATGTTTTCACATGCAAGCAAGGGGCTGCTTACCAATGGTAACCGGGTAAAAGTCACCAGCCTCAATTAACTTAGGACCGAGAATCTTTACCCGGTGAGGGTGGTGACTCTTACATGCATAGTGCTTATTGGATAAGAGAGGCTTACTAATAATACCATTTTGATGACCGGGAATCTTTCCCTATAAGGTGAGGGTACCAAAGGGCCATTGTCTGAGTAGTAACCGATAAACTCACCTTCTTGGGTTCAAGTCTCACCATTAAAAAAGGTAAGCGTGGGTGGTGAGTGTTTAATTATTGAAGTCTGGCCGAAAGCTGGAACAGTTTATTTATGTTTGGAGTCTCATGCTTGTACTATGTACACAATGAATTCATGTATGCACCCTCAACGATAAGCAGAGATGATTTTGAAAATGGAATGTAGAAGTAATATAGATGAAAAAGAAAGGCGGGTTTTGATGGTAGATTGAAGTGTTTGTATGTTTGGATGAACAGGAGACATTCTGGATGGTGATGCGAAATTTGGTGAAGACATTAGATGAAATAATCTCTTTTGTAGGTTTTATTTATTTATTATATTAGGTGGGATTGGATTGGATTGGATGGTGCTAGTATGCTATAAAACAGTAGATGACATTGACAAGGAGTGAGAGATTGAAGCAATCTAAACTAAACTGAAGTGAAGTGGTTAAGATGAATGAGAAAGTGAAGGGCATCGTTTCTGGTTGGAATGGCTAGTCATTTAATTTGCTTATGTAAATAGTCAGCAGAGAGTGTATTTGGAAGTAAATATGGAACTTTTAAGTAAAAGAAGCTGAAAACATGTGCGGATAAGACGAATAGAGATGTTAACGATACTAAAGTTAAATATAATAATAAAAGAAGGAAGGGAGTTGTAGTTTTCATGAGTAGAAGAGGGGGACCGTCCTATCTAATAAGACCATATTCTCTGAATTTGTAATAAAAAATAATATATATCTGAATTGTTAAAGAAAGGGTGAGGGTGTGGGTGTTGTTTCCTTAGCGGTGGTATCATTGGGAAAGGAATGAGGGGGGCACAAATCCCTTTGTTTCCCGGGCATCAGACACCTGTAGCTTCCCTGTTTATCAAAGTACCATCTTCTTCAATCTATGTTAAATATAGTATTTATGTTTATCTTGTAACTTTGATTGAAATTAAACACTCCGCATGATTGGATTCACACAAAATCAAATTAATTATTCTCTAATGTAAGTGTTGCTTTTGATTTGTATTTAAAACTTGTTAATCCCTTTGTATTTTAAAATGAATATTGTATTGTGAATAGAAAGTTGGTTTGAAAAGGAAAACAAGTTGGTGATGCGTAAGGTATATGTGTTGAATTTAGGGGAAGATGACGTTTGAGGCAAATAAATTTGTACAGCGACCCTCATCATCATCACCAGCTAATACCTGATATATAATATTGATTTTGAAAGAGAGACGGAGATGGAGGTGCAGGTGCAGGTTGAGGTTGATCCAAACAAAACGGTGGTCCCGGACCCACCATCCCTTGAAACGAGGTAATGGGGTGCAGCTCCAGTGATAATGATCATCATCCCTCTCTCTCCCTTATTTCTACCTCTTTCTGCTTTCTTCCTTCTTTCTTTTACTCCTAAGCCTCTGTTGACATTTTTAATTCCTCAACCGCCTTCAAATTCCAAGGTAAAATCTATTTATTTATTAATTAATATAAAGCTTCTTCCTTTTTCCCAAAGTCAATTCATCACCCTCTCTTTCTTCTTCGTTTTCATTTTGATTCTGATTCTGATTCTGTTTCTGTTTCTGTTTCTACAGACAGGAGGAGGTTGTATAATAATGGCTGCAACATTGGGGTTTCCATTTACAGCTGCTCAGTGGAAGGAACTTGAAAGACAAGCAATGATCTACAAGTACATGGTCGCTTCTGTTCCTGTTCCTTACCAACTTCTCTTACCCATCATCCAAAATCTCCCTCCTGCTGCTGCTGCTGCTGCTTCTGCTTCCCGCTCTCCATGTAATAATAAATAATATTCTCATTTTTCATCTTTATGTATGTGTGTGTGTATATATATATATATATATATATATATATATATACTGAACTTAAATAAATAAAACCCGTCATGTTTTACAGTGGTGAGCCAGCTACGGTATTCAACCAAACAAGATCTAGAGCCCGGCAGGTGTAAGAGAACGGACGGCAAGAAATGGAGGTGCTCAAGAGATGTGGCACCTAATCAGAAATACTGTGACCGCCATATGCACAGAGGCCGTCCCCGTTCAAGAAAGCATGTGGAACTTTCCAAGAATCCTTCTCCTTCCTCTTCCTTGCTTCCCAACAAGACTCCATCACTTCACTCCAACCCTTGCAAAGTTGCCGGATCTACGATTTTACCTTCTGTCACCCAACCTTCATTGTTTCTTGATGATATGCAATCCAATAAAAGGTCGGTCTGTTTTTATTTATTTATTATTAATCCTCGACTCTAGGTTCTTCTTTTGGGTTTTTATTCAATTTTTTCTGAAATGTAATTTTTAGGGGTTCGGATTGGAGCACGGAACAACAATGGCGACAGATTATGCAGACAAGTCGTTCCATTTTCAATGATGATTTTGGGGAAGAGCAGCCATCTTTTACGGATTTTGGGACTTCCCACGATTATCTCCTCTCTGAAACCCCAAGAAGAGATTTTATTGATGCTTGGTCGACCAACAAATCCACTGTGATTAAGGATTCATCTGGGGATCTTTCGCCATCGGCTCTAGATCTGTCTATGGCTATGGCTTTGGGGAACAATGGATTCGGTGAATTGGGCGTTTGCAAAGTTTCAGGCTTGGTTAGCCCTGTTTCTTGTGGCGGTGGTCCACTGGCCGAGGTGTTGCGACCAAGTTTGGTGGGTGTTTGTTCAATCCCAACTTCTCCAGCAGGGTCGTCCCCATCTGGGGTTTTACAGAGAACAATGCCATCAGTCTCCGATAGTAGTGTCTGTAATAGCGCAATTGTTGCAGCTTCTTCAACACCGACAGACATTGTGGCGTTCCAATGGTTCACTTGAAAAATTTAATCCACTTTTTTGCAAGTTCAACAATGTTTGTTTCGTGTTGTTTTTTGTTGTGGAGTGTAGATTTTTGTGGGCAAAAGAAATAAGATGTTGAGAGGGTAAGCAAAGAAATAAAGGTTTAGTGTTTGGAAAGGAAAGGATGGTCCCTTGTTTCAATTGTTGGTTGGATGTGGTCCAGTTTCTGTCCGGAAAAGATATGGAGATCTTCCTGCAAGTATAATATTAATGCCCCCACTCACACCCTCCCTCCCATGGATTCTTATTCTTGACTTGTATTAGAGGTGTCGTAACAAATACTAAGGGCATTCTTGGTAAGCAAGTGAAGTGATTCTTTTCTTTTCATCTTTTTCTTTTCTTACACAGCTGTGTTGTGTGTTGCTGTTGCTGTCCATCTCAAAAGGAAACTGTGTGTAGAGCCTGCCCTAAACACAACATATGTGAGTAGTAGTACTTGTTGGAGTGAAACTTTTTCACCAACCCAACCCAAGTAACAAGTCATTTTGTTAAGTAAAAGAGACGGACAAGATTAGGTCTGAACCAACAATCTATTATTTATTATACAAGTAAATCAGTCATTTGTTAATGGCATGATATATGAGGTTGAGCCACCTTCTTTTTAGTTTAGACTTTGTGATCTCGTATCATATGTTGCAAGCCTAAATCCAATGTAGTCATTCTAAATGGCCCACCAACGCTTGAGATTGCTCATACTTGTTATCCCATTAATATTTCTTTACATATATGTATATTATTCAATTAGATTAAGTGATACTGAATCAGTAGAATCTGTTTTGACATTATAAGTCATTGCTAATTAAACACAAACAAATTATACCAAGATAAAAATAGTTGCAAGTAAGTGGGTTCTTGAACCTAAATACAAACAATTCATCTAAACCACCTGCTCTCTTCACTCATTGAAGGCCTCCCGGATTCGGATTCGGATTCGTTTCTCTCTTTGCAACTACATATACTTAACCTTCTCTCACTCATCAACTTCTCCTCCACTTCGCTTCCATCCGAATTCATGTATTTTTTATGAGATACATTATTGAAACACAGTCGTTTCCTTGCACATGACGTGCTTTTCTTCACATCTGTGCTCCACTTGCTCTGCCTTGGTGAAGTAATTCTTGCCATGGCTGATTCTGTGGCAGACATGTAACTTGGCAAGCTATGTCTTTTCCCTGATATTCGTGATGATGGAGATGGAGATGAAGAAGAGGCATGTGGTTGATTTTGTGATGTTTTGCAGCTTGGAGATAAGGAACGACGTTGACATCTTCTACTCATGTCCCATTCCCAGTCTTGGTCAAACTCCTGGTATGTATGTATGTATATTCATTTTCACCGCAATCTATAACATGAGTCATTGAAGATACTATCTATTATCATGTATATATATGTGAAGTAAATTAAAAGTTGCAGATGAAACCTGATGATGATGAGCAGCTAGTTGAGTTTTCTGTAACATCGCTTGGATCTCCTCCATCCACCGCTCGGCGCTCCTTTTCCTGGTCTACAAACATATGTATATTGAAAAACTTAATTAATTATGATTAATAATTGTAGCATTAGTAATTAGTTAATTAATAATTATAGATATAGAAAAGAAAATTAAGTAGGTAGAAATGAAGTTGTTACATGGATGGAGTTGTGATCTGAGATCTGGTTTCTACGGTGGTGAGAGAGTCGAGCTTGGACACGGATGTTTACCCTCTTCCTTACGTTATGACCTCTTACCAACGCTTGTAGCTTCACCACCCCCTTAAGTGCCTCAAGAGCTCTCCTTGCCTAAGTAAATCACTAGTGTTATTTCTCAAAAATTGATAATTATAAATTCATAGCCTATATTATATACCAGGTATCCTCTGAAGAGCGTCTGAATAACAAGAGCAGCAGCATTGTGTTTTTGATCTTCAGATGTAGAATAGTGGGAGTGGGAGATGGGATCTGTTTGAGGAATGGGGTTAATGATGGATTCATGGTGAAGTATTATGGTGGTGGTTTCATCAAGGCCACTTTTCTTGAAAATCCATCTTCGCTTGCTTCTCTTCTGCACATATATACATACATATGATTATTAGTAGTAATAAATGAATGGAAGATGGAAGATGGCAAATGCATAAAAAGGGTTGCCTGATGATTTGGTTTGATCATCTCATTCTTGGGTGTGTGTTTGGTAAAAGCCTTTTTGACAGCATCTAACCAGGAGGAGTTCCGTCGATCGTTCCTTGCCATACCATACCATACCATATATTATTTACTATGTCGTCTAGCTGAAGACAATGCTAAGCTATATATATATATCTGAAGTTATATATATATATATATATATATATATATATATATCATATGATAGTTAAAGAAATGAATGAATTAAGATTCCATGACTACTCCATTGATGGAGAGTTGGTGTGTCAGAATGTTGGTGGAGAGCAGAGCATCTGAAAGTAAGCATATATGTCATCTCGATAAACGTAGAAAGCTGCATGCATATCATCATTAATTTCACTTTTATTAATTAATTAATTAGCTCAAGGTAAGAAATTGATTAATGATATGCATTTATAGAAACTTTTGACTCTAAAATGGTGGTGTTTAATAAGACAAATGAAAGATAGCTTTCATGACCCACTACTTACTACTTACTTTAATCATTCTGCTAAAGCACTCTTCCACTCTCTTTTGCTTTGTATTGTATTTTCTAAACATAGGATCCTCCACTTTACTTTTCCATTTATTTATATATATATTTATATAGCACCTAATTAAAAATTGAATGATGGATCATTAAACATCAAAGTGTAAGAATAACTATTGACTGTAAAATAATCCATAAATTATATTTTACAATGAAAACTGATCTAATGATTTTCTTTAATTATAATTGATCCAAAAATAGCTATCTTTCATTTTTACCATAACTTTGATTCATACCGAAACCCAACTATGTATTATTAATTATGTATTATTGAAGTGTTTTGAAGTGGTCAGTTAGTTTTGCTGAATAAAAGGTCTTCTACCTGTTTTGTAGGGGATATTTATTTTGAATTGGTATCAGA